TGATTGTCCCTGCAGTAGAAATGGAAAAGGATACCTCCCCTCACTGTCTGTGAATCTCCTTTTGGATAGCAATAAATGCACATTACAAACCAAACATGACTTGGCCACTTAGGTTTTCTTCCTACAAGCATCCAGCAAAAGGAGAGTCACTTGTATGTCTGTGAAAAGTTAATTGAAAGTTTGGGCTCAGTGCTCAGGTTGAGGATTACCTGTCTTGTTTCTGTTTCAGTACCTTCTGCAGATTACAAGCTTCTTGTTTCTGGTGTACTCAGCTTCTAGCTGACAGACCCTTTACAAGACATTGCTTAACACAGCAGCAGTACCAGAAACCCTCACCAGAGACCTGGCATAGGAGGGGGAAGTGACTGACATCAGGATTTGATGCATCCTTCATGATTAGGACACTGACCTGTTGTCAGTACCTCTCTTAGGCGTTGGGATATTTAATCTTGACTTTGTTTCTACAGAGGCAGCTTTTGCTGTTCTTTTTCATACAGTATGTGTTGCCCTGTGAGCAGCCCTGCTGAATTTTATGAAGCTACTCATAGGAAAAGGTACCAGATGTCATAAGTCAGTGTTGTAGAAATCATCCAGTTATTACATGTCGGGTATTCCCTGTGGTAGACAAGAGAACTACTTATATGTGTCACAGATTTTGTCATCAATGTGGCAAAAAGGATTAAAATATAAAGTCTGGAATGAATTATTTTTAATTTCATAAAATATTTTTTCACTAAGCACAAAAGAATTTTTTTTTGGAAGTCCATTTCCCAAAGTTTCAGTGTTTTGGGGTTTGTAACATTTCAAGGTTTAAAAAGCCACAGGAAATAGAATTATGGCTGCTGCATAACTTTCTACATAAATTTTCTTGAAATTGCAAGTTATTTCCTTTTACATTTACTAATTTGTAATCAGTAAGGCTAAAATTTTCCTATTCTAGGTATCAGCAAATCTTTCAGATATTTCAGAAGGAAATATTGTTGGTTTTCTTCAGGACAGCCTTTTTGGTGTCTCAGCAATTACATTTTTTTTTTCTTTTTGTGTATTGCTGTATATTTATCACAATGTCTTTTACCTCTCAAACAAAAACTGACTATAAATGGATACACAGCACTGGAAAGGAGTCATGGGATGGTTTCAGTGCCCTGGCCCTTCCGAAAAGCTACCCCACTGTTACAAACAACTTAGAACCATTTCCCCAGCACTGTCCATCCTCTACAATAGACAAGAGAGAATCCTATCACAAAAATATGACAGGATTATTTTATTAGTAGCAATATTAGTATTATAATAATAGTATTAGTTATTATTAGTAGTATTCATATATAATAATATATTATTAATATTATTTCACTTAAGGTGTGTAAAAATATACTTCTGAAGTCCCTCCACCATTTTACTTAGTTTCCGGGTAGGACCAAGAGGAAATCTCTCTGCAACCAGATTTTTTTTTTAAAACTGCAACTTGAAAACACTAATGTGGTTGTACTTTTTTTCCTTTTATTCTCAAACCCGACTGAACATGATTAATGATCAGCTGGCTGACTGTGAGTGACTTCCATGGTTATTCTCCAAATACAAGAAAACACCTGTATTATACTTGGGTGAAGAGGTTTAAAACTAGCTACTGATTATTTTTTCCTCATCTGTGGGTGATCTGAGGTTTTTCTTGGGTGACTGTTTAATGCACAGTGAAAATATGCCTTGATAAATGACACAGAACATAAAAAAAAAAAAATCCAAAAAACCAAGCCATGCCATGCAAAATCATGAGACACTTACAGAAATCTTGGCCCAAAGTTCCAAAGCTTCTCTCAAATTACCAATTTATTCCAGTCGAGGGGAAGGAAGACTGTAGGCATAAAAAGTGTTGAGTTTTGGTTTTGTTATTTTCTGGGGGGTTTTTTTGAGAGGGGGAATCTGTAACCTAGAATTGACCAGCATAAACCTATGTGTGACGTCCCACATCTGACACCCTTCAGACCAGGCATCCCGAATCTCTGTCCCCAGTACCCCCGGCATGTCCTAAATGGCCTTATGGCTTAGTGGGTCAGTACATGATGCTACATGTATGTGAACATGTATCACACACATACAATAGTTTCCACAAAATGAACACAAAAATCTGTCCTGTGTCTCCACAAAACCATGTGATCTGTATGACATCAATTTTACTGGCTGCAATGCCTCAAAAATGTATACAAGTCAGTAAAGGCTACAAAAGCATGGCAAGTCTAAAGGCTCATAACACATATATATGTATACTGTGATTTTCAGAATGCAACACACATGTAGCTGCAGGCATTTTAAAGAAGCCAGATCATTCCTTCTGCTTTTTACAACAAATCTTTATAAATTACTAAAATAAAATTAAAATAAGTGATAGACAGGATGTGACTATACACTTTTTGTGGTTGTTTTGTTCTTCTGGGAGCTTCTGATGCTGAAGTTTTGATGAGATTCTGTGCTCTCTCGTCATGTGCTTAGAGACACAAGAAATTTCAGCTTGGTTTTCTGTCATCCTTGCTCCAGTAAGAGTCTTGTAGCTCATTTCTAACATCAATCACATGGACTATAAATCTCTGCAATGGATATGGCCATTTAAATCTCCACCTGCACAAACAACAATCAGGCCTAGAAAATAAGGTGGCTCATAAATCTCCACACTAGTGATTAGTAATATTTTGGATCTGTAACAAGGATGTTATAACAAAAAAAAAAAAAAAAGAAAGCAAAGCTAATGCATTAATTACTACTGATATGCTGACAATCTCTTTACAGAAAAAAACACAAACAGGGGACAGTTAACATAACATGACGTTAGAAGTTAGTGAATTCCCAAGAGGCCAAGACTTAGAGATATGATATCTTAATGTGCTTATCCTATTGTGAGTGGGCAGGTGTTATCTTCCAGCCAAACACTAAAGAGCTGGTTTAAAGTTTAGATCTGACCTTTTTCTTCTGGCTTACATGAGCCAAAGAATCAAGATGGATCAAGAGATAGGAAAGACTTCATTGCTCATTATCAAAAATGAAACTCTGCCTCCTACTGAAACTTTACTCTGCAGACAGTACCTAGTGCTTGGCAGACAAACCAGTTGTGCCCTCCACAAGTTTGTTTGGTTTTTGTTTAGTGCATGCAGAAAACCCAATGTGATGTTCACACAGATCAGTGACTGGCTTTCCTGCAGCTCCAGTGAACTCCGAAGCCACTATGTGCCATGGTCACATCACAGGCACTGCACATTTTTGTCCAGAGCTTCATGAATCCCAGGTAAGCAGCTGAATAAGTGGAGTTGCTCCTGCAGTCAGATCAGTCACTATGTCCAGAAAGGACCCGTGTGCAGATCGTGCCCAGTTCTTTACTCTCCCATGTTCAAAACCCAAGCTGCTGGGTGACCTGTGCCATTTCAGGAAGCACGTGAGGAGGGAAGGAGCTATGGGAGCAAGTTCATGATTCACTGGCCTCTTTGGGCTCCACAGGAGGGTTTAAGAGAAGATTTGACATGGAGAGGAAGAAGAGCTAGCTGCTTTTAAAAGCCTGCTCTGTGGAGACTGAATACATATGTGCATAAAGATCGTAACTGCAGTGTACATCTGCTTATCCAAACTACACAGCCCCCCTGCCATTCACACTAGAGGTAAAACGACTGGGAACGTTTGGCTTCAGTGCTTGCAGAGTACGGCCTAATGCCCTCATTCCCACCGCTCCCACAGACAGGACCTTATCTTGCCTCTTCAGTCAGGCAAAACTCCTTGACTTTTTGAGCACGCATGAACCAGTAGACAAAACGCTCTGCGGGTTCAGCACAAAAACATCTGCTCTGCAAAAACTCACCAAGAAAAGTTTTTTTTTTTCTGTGTGATCTCTACCATGCAATAGCCCCCCCCCACACACACACCTTTTCCTCCATTTCAGCACCTACCCTTGCCATCCCATCCGCAGCCCCGCTGGCCCTCCCCGGAGGAACAGTGCACTCCCTCAGCTCGCTGGGGGCTCTGCAGACCACCAGGGTCTTGGCCACCCAGCACACCTGTGCACTGGGACGCTCACAGCTGGGGGGACTCAAAGAGTGAGAGGGGATCGGGACTTGTCGGAGGTCACCCAAGAAGGCTGGAAAAAGTTTGATCCTCCTGCCTCCAGCCGCTGAGCTGTGACAGCTTGGTCCTTGCTGCCGGCCGGGCGGCGGAGCACTCCCTTCCTGGAATACACTAGTAGCTGGACAGGATGCATTCACAAATATAATCATCCACAAATCTCCCTCAGATTAGGTTACAAGACAGCGTTTCGACGACATACATTACAAAGCTCCCTGGAAGGCTTGGCTGGTGGATCTGCTGCTCTCCCTGCTCATGACCCATTTTGGCTTTCGTCAAGAATCATGACACCAGCTGCCTGGGTCATCTAGGAGGCAGGGAGGGGGAGAGCAACCCTGGGCTGGAAAGGGAAGTGGGGAAGGAGAAGAGGAGGAGGAAGGGGGAGGATAGAAAGACAGAGCAGGGCGGGGGAGAGAGAGAGAGAGAGAGAGAGACTTGCTTTGCTCCAGTTGTGAAGTTTTGAATCCCAGTTCCAAGCTCTCGGCAAAGGCTTGCCGGGATACCTCACTGCCTTGTCTTGTGCAAAGGTCTGTGATTGGGGATGTGGTGTGCTCAGCGGGCAGGGCCCCTCCCCTGGGCTGGATCCGCCTCTCTTATCCCCCAGATAAATTACTAGTGTCCTCACTAAATTCCTCGGCTTTCTCTCTCTCTCCTTCTCTCACACACGCTCACTCCCTCCCTCAAATACAGGCAAAGCAGGGTTGGGGGGCG